CTTACCATCACACCTGCAAATTCACCAATGTATTGACCATTAAGAGGGGGGAAAAAAATCAATGGGATTTGATCAACAGCAAAAAGCCCTGATGATTAGATTTTGTGAACAGGCTTCACTGAACAGAAAATATCCCTTTTTGAGGATCTGGAGAACAGTGAGAGATTAAAATAAACACACGAAGAGATGCAAAACCAAACAGATAAACCAAAACATCTTTCCTGTTATACATTTGATCATCTCATGCTTTTGGTCAAGGGGAAAAAAAAGCCATAGTACAGAAAGATATAACAAATGAATTCCATCATCAATTGATAATAGCCCGTAACCAAATATGCAATTATAGCATACATCCGTGACTTCCCCTCGTTCTCCTCTTTCCTGTCTCTGCCCTTTACATCATCTCCTTTCAGCGGTCATCCCCTTTTCACTGCAGACCTTACTGTCCTCATGGGCAAAGCACAACAAACCTTGATGCTATAGCTGGTGGCTTCTCCTGCATCACCGGCACCCAGCACTCCAGTTCTCAATGCTCCACCTACCTGTCAACCACCCAGATTCCTGGGAACACCCACAGCTCCCAAGATAGTTCCATGAGGACGGGATAGTTCCATGAGGACGGGACTCAGGAGTTCTTGTAAGGATTTGTAACGTAAAACCTTTTAAAGTACAGAGATTGTTTTAGGCTATGTTCCCCATAGCACCTAGCATGGTGCCAAAGCCAGAATAGTCTTTAAAAACTACTTCTTGGGGTGGCAAGGAAGATGCCAGGAATTCAAGCATTTGTGCAGATGGTCTCTGTTGTTACAGACTCGCGTGGCCTCAAAGACAACTGACAATAAGCAGACCTTCAGCGGGAAAATTATTCATACACAGCTTTTGGTTACCGATTTTTGATATATAAGATGGCTATTATAATTTAGGTACTAGATAATTTTGATAAAAGGTGAAATACGGAGTCTGTTTTTTAAAAAGATGCCATAACGTTAAAAATATTACAATTGCCTATGGATTATTACAATTGCCTATGGATTATTACAACTGCCTATGGGTTATTACAATTGCCTATGGAT